TTTGGAAGATGAAAGATATCGTCAAAATATCTGTTGAATGTAACAATTAGTTAGTGAGTAATTTAATATATTTATTCAAATGTTCATTGTGAGTAATTGTATATGATATATGTGTATATATCTTCTATTAAATATTATGTACCCTTGAAGTACTCCCTTTGATTTATTCTCAGTCTCATTTGTAACTTCAAAAGGGAAAAAAAAATTAAAAAAATATTTGTTATCTGTTTCTTGTTTGGTTTTCTCAACATTTCTTCAAAATTGAATACAAATAAATTGCTTCCAAAATGTACTTTCCTAATGTAGGTTTTTGTAATGCTAGATCACGGTTGCCGTCTTGTCAAACAAATAGTCTTGAACAATTCTTTAGATATATCAATAATTTGTGAAACATGGTTGAAATATTCCACCGATAATAATCGATTGAACATTAATGGCTTTAATTTACATAGGGTGGATAAGGATTGCAGGGGAAGGGGTTTATGTTTATATGTTAGTAACAAACTACCTTTTGAAGTAATTGACAGTGGGCGTTACTTATGCGAACAGTGTTGGATAAGAACTACTGTTGAAAAAAAGACCTCCATAAAGTTAGCAAGGCAACTTACAGTAAAATTATTGAAATATATTTTTTTAATTGTCGAATAATTGTCGAAAATTTGTCGTGAAAGAAAAATAATTGTCGCGCATCTCCTTTTTTTATAAGGGGTAGCCCTTATAAAATGTAATGGACAACATTTTCAGCATTCATTGTGAAAATGTGATATTTTGTTTAAAATGTTGTTATTTTGAATCATCCCATTCTGTTATTGTCTATACTTTCACATGTTTTAGCCCAGAAAATCTTACTTTTTACATGGAAATGACTGATTTTTGGTACAGTTGTTCCCTGGAAACTTTGAGCCATAGTTAAGGAAATTATTTTGTAATCTTACAAACTTCCTCTCGTTCATTGTTGTTAATTCAGGATACATTTGGTTGAATTTTCTACAAGTTCTGGCAATGATTTGATCACACTGTCCGTGTATAATAAATAATTTCATAAGAACTTCGTTTGAATTATCAATATTTGCATTCATTTTTGGCGATTTTTTGAAACACCGTCAATAACCATTTATCAATTACTTATAAAAGTCACCAAACTGTCATAAGCTTGATATTTCCACGGCTACCTAGAAATCAAATTCTTTAAAAATTATTTTTTGTACAACTGTTATTGAAAATCTCTTTGATAGAAACACTTCAATCAGAACACCTACCAAAAAATCATTTAGAAAAGTTCACACATGCAGTTCGTGCTATTGGTAATATTAAATCCCTGTGATCTTACTGACGATGACTAACCAATAATCATCCTCCTTAAAATAACGTGAGTTGATGGCGTATGTAGTTGTAACATATGCCTTGTAATCCAAAGATCGTGTGTTCAAATCCCATGGACCCTATAATTTTTATCAGCAGTAACGTTATACAAAAAAATTTGTATGATACATTTGTTAAAAGTGAGTTTGCTCGTGAGTTTGCTCCACTTGCTGACGCTCGTTTTGCAATAATCCCCACTCACAAAATAAAATGCCACTTTCAACACTTAACGTGAATAACTATTTTTCCACAAAAACGGCTTTAGTAAGAAAACTTGACGATTTAGGTATAGGGACATGTATATCATCTTAAAGCATTATTCACCATCTTTCAATTTATCAAGTAATATACGGGGGTTTCATTTGAAAAAATGAACTTTCGACTACTTTTATGCACAATGGAAATAATAGTGATTATAGCACGCCCTGTGTGATATGGAGTCGATTTCTTGGTGTTATTTGAATATTTCGAGTTTGTCCAAACTATCATCAAAATATCAACTTTTCATGAATTGAGAGTACTAATGTACTTAATTTCAATTAAGGCTATGTTTTGGACCATATTTAGCACAATTTATTTTTTATCTTGAAAACAGATAGAGATAGGTATAGGACATTATCAACAAAAAAATATTAAAATGCTAGAGCGATTCCAAAAATGTATTAATATACGGGGTGTTCCGTTCAAAAAAATATAATTGCTAGGACTTTTTGATAGAAGTGGCAACGCCAAAATGCTGAAAATATTTTAGATCGATAGAACAGGTAAGGAAATGTGAGAGGTGGAATTTTCAAAAAAATCATGCTTTGCGTTTTCCAGAAACGTCTAACCTACCATCGACCGTGAGTCACGCTGTATCAATTCTGCTGTTTCGGCAATTGAACAATACTTTTGTTTTTGCTTGATCTTCATTTATAAACGATTGTCGAAAGAGATACAATTGGTCAATAGGTTGCTAATTGCAAAAAATATTCGACATGATTATAGGATTACAAAAATAGATGAAACAAAAAAAATGATCGATAATATCCACGTAGATACATTACGAATTTATTTTATCACTTTTCACTGGCGATCCTTTTAAAAAATATATGAAGAAATTAAATACGCCTGTTGTGGTGTTGCCATATGGTTCAAAATATCCATATAGTACAAGGTATGACACGAAAAACGCAATATTTTCCAAAAAAATACATTTCAGGAAATTTTTGATATGGATTGGGTTACGACAATATTATTCAACAAATACTAGTGATGAAAGTTTCAATAATTCAGTTATATTAAAAACTTTACTACAGGTGCTGTGCTAACTTTATATCAAGTTAGCAGGGCTATCCGTTATAAAAAAAATGAGATGCGCGACAATTATTTTTCTTTCACGACAAATTTTCGACAATTATTCGACAATTAAAAAAGTATATTTCAATAATTTAACTGCAAGTTGCCTTGCTAACTTTATGGAGATGAAAAAAAGGATATTGCTATTGGTGTAATTTATAAACCTCATGAACAGAATACAAATGTATTCTTGGATGAATTTGAGGAAAGCTTAGCTGCAATAAGACCAACGGTAGATGAAATTATATGCGCGAGAGAGTTTAATTCAATTTATTGGACAATGAGAATAGTTGTGTTAAAAGTTTTACTCAATACTGAATACACTGAATCTTTGTCAGTTGATGGATTCTCCTACTAGGGTTACAGTCACGTCAGCAAGTCTTTTGGACTATGTTATAGTCCAAGAGGAAAATGAGGCAGAGAATGGTGTTATACCTCACAATATTTCTGATCACGATGTAGTATATTGTATGTTGAGAGTACGTGAAAAGCGACAGGATCCCAAACTCTGTACATACAGAAGCTTCAAAGCCTTCAATCAAGATCTTTTTCAGGTAGATCTGTTCAATACTTCATTTTTTTAAATATATGATCAAAAAATTATTGAGGAGAAAGTTACATATTTGGTAAATTGTTTGAAATACTTATTTGATAAACATATGCCAAAAACTACTTCCAGAGTAATAAAACCGAAAGCTCCATGGCTGATGTTCTTTATGGATGTTCTTTATGGCCCATGTTTTACCAATCAATACAAAAATGAGATTCAAAAAGTTCAATACGCTTCAGGTTAATTTTTGGTATTGGTCGACGACACAGGATCTCATATAAGCTTCAAGATATTGGATTGCTGAACATGGAGAAAATAAGGTTACTTCACGCTGTCTGTTTTTTCCATAAAATAATTGTAACATAAAACCTCCATATCTTCATAGGAAAATCACATATCGTACGGACATGCATAACGTGAATATTCGATATAAAAATATGATTGGAATGCCAAAATTCAAAACAGAAGTGTTCAGGCGGTCTTTCAAGTATCAAATTTGTTGCAAGTATAATTCTGTCCCCAACCCCTCCAAAAATAAAATTTCACAAAGTTCAAAACTAAATATAAAGACTATTTGTTAGACTGAAATTAAATCAAATTATTGATATCTTGTAAGGAATAGGTGAAGTGAACTCTTTATGTAAGGTGCAGAGTGATCTGTATAGAGTCTGCGGAGATCGAAGAGGAAATCTCGATATTTTATCCGTTTTTCCTTCTTTTTTCTGACGATATTCATCTCGTCAGGAGCTGAAAACTCCACGACAAATATCGTCTTGGTCTGGTGGTCGAAAAGGACTACATCAGGCTTATTAGCTTGTATGAGCCTGAGGGTGGGGAACGAATAGTTCCAATGAATTCGGCACTTCTTGTTTCCCACAACGGATTAAATATCCCCCGGAGCGTAGGGCAACACCGGTGCCTCGTCAATACCGTAAAAGTGCCGTAGATGGTAATATAGCACTCTTAGGGCCGCGTTATGTCGATGGATATAGGACGATACCGCATATGCTGGACATGCTGCACGGAAAAAAAGATTTGTCGAATGAAAGAAAATTCACTTCATTCAAAGAAATAAAAGTCATATATGCACGACAAAACATTTTGTTTATGCAAGTAAAAAGAATTTTTGACTCCCAACTATTTCTTCAATATGTTTTTTAAGTTTGTAGATAAAAAGCATTACGTATAGTTTTAGTAAATTGAGAAAAGTACTTTTCGACAGAATCAGAAATACAGAGTCAGTGATTGAATTTACATGAATCTCCAATTAAAAAAGATCAAGTTATGGAATAATTGTGAGAATATATTATAGTTTGTTCAACAACCCGATTTCTCAATACATGAAATACACTTTGTATCATTTTCTCAACTGGATTATTGATCTACTTACGTATCACGATTTTTTAATCAGCTGCTAATGGGAGTCTTGCGGATAATATTTCATATTCAATACTGATTATGTAAATGATATGGAAAATTGTTCAACGTGAGAATGAGCAAAATATAAATGAAAATCAAGAAATTTCAGTAACAAATTTATTCAAACAATTAATAAATTATAATAGACTTCTACAAATATCGCAAAAATATATAGTTATTTGAGAAAACTGAATCTGTTTTTAATTGTAATGGTATACATATTTATTATAAAATTTATGAATGAAAGACATACCTCTGTTATATATGATTCTTAATTTATTCGATCAATTGCTTCCTTGATTGAATATTTTTCTTTTGCCAAATGGGAGAATCATTTCTTCATCAGTCAGCCTTTTAGCTATGTCTAAGGTTACATCATTTTCTGTTTGAAAAGTATGTATTTTAAGTATATTAGTAGGAGATAAATAATATATGTATTTTTTTTACCTTCAAAAATGCCAATCAGATCATTTAATCCCAAGTTATTAAGAAATTCCTCCATGTCTAAAAATAAAAGAGATTATATTGCATGTTTTGAGATCGTGCAGTTTTGTTGGATGTCATCATTTCGGTATTACTTATTTTAATAAAGTAATACAAGAGAAAACTGTGATTATTTCACAATGTTATTTGAAAGAAAAATCTTAAAAGGAGGTTCCTTCAAGGATTCAGTATATACTATCATGATGAAAATGAAATCATTGTTTACGGCACCATTCAATTATTTATGATGTAAGAAATTTAGAATTCGGAACAAAGGTACAGCTCTTCGCTGACATTGTATACCTACACCTATTTCCGTGGCAAACACCTTAATTGTATTTACTCTGAAAATGTCCAATTCCTCCGTATCCTAAAATCAAAGGTCAACTAGGTACCCAATGTATGCATACCTACCCACCTCTCAATGATAATCATTTCACTCGACAGCTTCTACTTTCTTAAAAACCTAATTGAAAACATCGAAGCTTTCCTTCAGTCATTACATTAAACAATAAGAACTTCAAGACAGTTTCATAGATAGCTGTCGAGAAAAATGTATGGGCTTGAAAAAAACGATGTCCGTTTATCCAGTACATGCTATTCATAATTATTTGAAAATATGGAATGAAAGAAAGTATATTATCAACATACCTGTGAAAACACTGAAAAACTTCAATCCACGTATAATCAAAAAGAAACTGTAAACCTCTTCGTCATTTCCTTGAAAAACACAAAACACATTTTTAATTCTTATTCCATTCGTGATTAGTTTACTGTTCTTGCGAAAACGCAAATGGTGCCAACCAGCACTCTATTCCTTAGAAGTATTTCAACTATACCATTTCTTTCAAGGAAACAATTTAAGTTTTCTAACCAACAAATAATAAAAATATTGAAATGGAATTATCCATAGGCTTGAAATTATTTCCAAAATTAATTAAATGTATTGATATGTATTGTTGAAGTGAAAATAAATATTCAGCTGATTCAATTATATATTAGTGTCAAAACAGCACCCCATAGTGCTAAACTGAATTGGAAAGTTTTCATTCAACAGACGTACTTTTGATTTGATGAAATTATATTGTTTGACTCAACCGAATCATTTTGAGAACTCAATAAATGTTATTCTTGAAATGATCCACAATTTATTTGACTAAGTAAAAGACCTCTTGAATTGAAATATTAGAGAAATTAAAATGAGAACTTCATTTTGTCTCCGCAAAATTATCTAATCGAAACAATACACACGTCGTTTGGAATGAATGATATTTAATCAAAGTGATGAAATAAATTAGACTAAATAAATTTCTTTGAAGTAACAAATCTTTTTTTTCCGTGTGATAGCAAGTGCATTAGGGTCTCAGGCGCCTCGCGGTAGGCCCTACACCTTGTGTCAGGAACCTCTATACTCATCACGCGACTGCGGTAGACTAAGGTGTTGAGGACACCATCCTGGCAAGCCATGATGAACCCCTCAGTTTCCGACTTCAGCTCACTCGACCTGAGAAAAGCGAACGTCAAGCGCTTTGATAAGCCAAGGTCTCCAATGTTATGGAAGAAGACCCCATGCATTAGCTTATCCTTGTTTTTCCGCAGAAGTAAGGTGATATCTGCGGCTTTCATCTGAGCTTTTTGCTGAACGGGTTCCAACTCGGTAACAGAGTTGTGGTCACTTCGTTCAGTGTAGAAAACTATACCGAGTTCATCAGCTGCTAGGGCAGCTGCCCTGAAGAGAAATGCTCCCTCATGGTCACGGACCATGCAGAGAAGCGGATCCGAACTCCTGATGACTTTACAGGGTGTATCCAATACCACTCTACCATGTAGATACTCCAAACTCAAAAGTCCACGACCTCCCTGTTGTCGGGGGAAGTACAACCGTGGAACGGACGATTTGGGATGCAAACTCCTATAGAGATGCATCCTTTCTCGGGTCTTTACATCGAGTTGATACAGCTCCTTCCGAGTCCACTTCAATACTCCAAACGAGTAGAGTAAGATTGGAATGGCAAGCATATTTGTTGCAGCAACTTAGTTCTTCCCCGACAGTTCCGATGACCAGATCTTCCGAAGTTTGTGCTGATACTTGCCGCGGAGAGAGTTTTCACTGCTGTTACACTGTGAGTGGCGTCGTTCCACCCCGAGGTGAGTATACGTCTCTTCGGCATCCTGATTGTGTAGGATGCTTCTATCTACGAGCTGCACATCCTCTCCGTAGTCCTCGCATCGTCCTCTTTTGAGATGGACTATTGTACATTTGTCTATCTCGAATTTCATACCGATAGGATGCGTGTACTCTTCCACCACCCTCAAGTAAATCTTTCTCTCCAGAGGCATGAAGTTTAAGATCATCCATATAAAACAAATGGGTGACCTTGTGCCTCCGGTTTCCGGGGGTGCCACAGTTATACCCTCGAGTATTTCTGAGCGCAACGGATAATGGCAACAGTGAGATGCAGAAGAAAAGGGGACTGAGAGAATCACCCTGAAAAACACCCCTTCTAAAAAGTGACCCACCCTGTTTGCACTCTTTCTTGACCAGATGTTATGGTGAAGCGGGTTCGCCAATGTGGTATCAGTTGTTCAATGCATCTCACTATTTTGTCGGGTACCGCAAGGCATCTGAGCAACTGCAATATTAGGTCATGCGAAATTGTATTAAATGACTTACGTTAATCGATCCGGGCCATAGAGAGGTTACGCTTATATTGTATCGAGTCCTGCGTTACACATCTATCGATGAGCAGGTTCTCTTTACATCCAGCGACTCCTCTCTTCGACCCTTTCCGCTCATATAACCGTTCGAACACTCGGTCAACTGTATTCGTGTGTATAAGATGCTCGTAAACGACTTATAACACGAATTCAAGCATGTTATCGGTCTGTAATTCTTAAAAATCGACAAATCTCCGCTTTTTGGGGATAAGAACGGTCCGCCCCTCGACAAACCAAACCGGAATCAGCTGCTCTCCATCCAGCCATGAGTTGAAAACTCTGGCCAGATGGCGGTGGGTGCTTGGTAGTTTTTTCCACCAATAAGTGTTCAGCCCATCCGGGCCTGGAGCAGCAATGTTTTTGGAACCCACAAGGGCTCTTCGAACGTCTTCCGGGTTTGTCGGGTTGCGCAGTTCATTGAGCTCAGGCTGTCGAAGCTCTCTGTTAAAAGTTTCGAACTGCGCTAGGGCTGGAGTGTCTAAGTACAGTGGCTGCGGGTGTTCATAGATATCCTTCCAGAAGGATTCCACCTGATCAGCGTTCGACGGATTATCCACAACACGTGGAGGCTCTTGGAATAAACGTGTAGGTTTCTCGCGGAACCTAAGGTTTTCCGCGATACTTCTCGCTCGCCTCACAAGTGGCTTCTAGCCACTAGCATCTGTATCCTATCAAGGCAGTGCTGTTTGGTTGTCAGCAGCACGCCTTGACCTAAAATGTGATGGATACATCGTAGATTGGCGGCTATTCGCCGCACTGCGGGCGTAAAGGGCCTATTGGCCGCCCTGTCCATTCATCACACATTGGATACGAGATGCGTGTTGTCTCGCCGACGTGGTCTTAGCCTCCATCTTGTGTACACGCCGTTCAATCTTCAGAACCGCAAGACCGGGATTTCGTCCTGCCGATTTGGACACCGATTGGACGACGCTATACACGGCGGTGTTGCGTTATATTAGAACTTTGTTCGTATTCTCATCTTCACTGTGCGGAAGCTTCGGTTTATATGTACAATAGCTACGTTTGGTGTTATAGTGGATATCGATTTTTTTCCACACGTAATTTCCGATAAACTGAATATCCTGGAACGCTGACTGGTTTTCTCGTGATCAATAGGTCTAGGAGGTATACCTGCATGTTCGCTTCTTCTAAGGTGAACATGTTGTGTTGTTGGATGTTTTAAAAAGTATTAGAGTTCTGAAAGACGAAATGATGAAAATATCGTCTGCATATTGTTACGTTATCCGTAAAATTTTAGAAAACTCCCAAAAGGTAGGCAACCAGGAATACATTTCAATTATCTTTCATATCGCACACGAGAGCTGCTGCCATCATCGATGAAACGAGGAAACCTTTTGTTTGTAGCGATAGGAACTATCGGGTACAAAAAAGGGATTGGAGAATTTTTTTTTATTCAGAAAATGGCTCGAATGTCTTGAACGCTAAATTTTGTTGATTGAATATTTTACGCTTTAGGCGGTTTTAATTGATCAGTGTTCTTTTCGACAGTGATATTTGGTCGGATAATTCGTTGGATTATATTATCAACTGTCGATTTGTCTCTACGGAGGATTTTAGATATCAGCCTTTTTTTTTGTGGTAAAAGAAGTCAACGTCTCGCGATTATTAGGGAATCGGTAATCGGAGGCGTTTAACCCCATATATCGAAATCATCTCGAGGAAAATAAAAATTACTTTGAAGAGAATATATGTCATTCGATGGTCACAATACTGTAATATTCATGGTCGCCTTCTAAGGATATAATTAAAGGAATAAACATCCGTTCCAGGAAGTGCAGTAATCCGTACAATCCAGTAATCTGGCTAAGTACCGCATAGCGGAATTTGTTTTTTGGTCATTTATTTTGCATTCCGTAACTTCCACGGGCCAATATCTACGTTCAGTAATCATCAACTGGGAACTACACTCAGCGGATATTGTTTAACTGTTTTTTGTATATTAGTTATGCAAGTTTTGCGTAATGTCTTTAGGGGACTGGACGAAGACCTACCATACAGATCTCATCCACTCCTCTTCTTCCCTCTCATGAGAGTTTTCTAAGTGCACGAAACCCCTCCAACCATTTCAAATCTTGTTTTACTGATTATATATTTATAGATAAGCTAGTATATAATATATTTCTATTGAATTGATACCGTGGTCTTTCTAATTATTGTTACCTGCCAAAGTTCATTATCAATTGGTTACCTTTTTTTAGAGTAGATCTTATAGATTCAATTTCTCTAATTTCATTATTTCGAGTCAGGGTTAAATATTTGAATCTATTGGCGCCCGTTAAAGTGACACCTAGTATTTCAGGAACTCACCCCTCTCTCCCTGTTCAGGCTAGCTGTGAGCATAACCCTTTGCTTCACCTTGTTTACGTAACCATTTGATATAGTTGTTTTTTGTACAGTTCAAAGCTGTTAAATTTATTACGTAACAATATCTTCTCCTCATTACTGGGTTCAGTTAAGCCTCACTTAGTCATAAGAGAGTCCATCATAGTCACTTTCATCTTTTTGCATAGAGTAGGTCATAACAGGCAATTTAAATTAGAATGATTTCGTGGATAGATATTATTGTTAGTCTTGAATCAGTCAAATTACACAAGAGAGGGCCTAATATTCGAGAAAGAAGCTGCTCTTTGTTTCGAAGTTAACTAAGAACGAACAGCTCGTTTGTTGGTTTTGACTCGGCTTTGACGGGGCTTGTTCAATCAAAAGGAGAAGAGGAGAAGTTTTTACCTATAAAACCTCAACTAAGACTTTCACGTCAACAAATATCCAACGAAGTCCAAACTGATGGTTAGTTCTCAATTGAAAACTAAAATGGACAAATATAAAGAAATGCGTTCATTGGATTGCGATCCAATTAATCTTACCGATCGTTATGCCTCAGAATGACTAAGATACCAGGCACCTTGCCAATAATGTCAATTTTTATTTCGATTTTAAAATAGGATATAGTCGGCGAAAATAAAACCCAATAAAAAAAGTGTTAATTTATTGTGCGGTCGCTGATTCATTCGATTTAACCTTTTT